GTCTTTTCTCTGATGGTAACAACGCTGTTATGGAATGTTACACACTATTTATTTATTTGGATTCGGTTGTATTACTTTGTATTTCTAATCTATAATCAGTTAATTATGCCTTATCAATTTTGATGAGATCAATTTTAGTATTAGCTCCACTTACCTAATTATAATACCCTGGTTTACAATGCTTGTTTACATTTAGAAACTCATGGTAGATACCTTGTTGTTGTTTCTTATCCCCTTGTGTAAAGATTACATGAATTCCATAAGTCAATGTTTCTCGAGGTGTTTTATGATAAGCAGAGGCCTCTCCCAAAGGTCCTGTATATCTAATGCAAGCCAAATGTGTTCTGGAGCTGCAGATTGAATTGGCGAAACCGCTGGAAGGGTTCACCACAGATGAGCCAAGCCCTCCCATCACAGTAGGACAGTAGAAGTTTTGTGTGTAAAAGAAACATTCAGGCTTTCATTTCTTGTACAATAGAGTTAAACTCCCCTCAAGCAGGTAGACAGTTTATAATATCTCATTTAGAAACACAATGTTGTCGTGTCCAATGAAGAGCCTCGGATGTCTCCATACATCTCTATCACAACAATGTCTTCTATCTTGGGTGTAGAAACACAAGGTTGTTGTTGTCGTGTCCAATGAAGAGCCTCAGATGTCTCCATACATCTCTATCACAGCAGTCGTTCTCTATCTTGGGTGTAGAAACACAAGGTTGTTGTTGTCGTGTCCAATGAAGAGCCTCAGATGTCTCTGTACATCTCTCACAGTAATGTCCTCTATCTTGGGTGTAGAAACACAAGGTTGTCGTGTCCAATGAAGAGCCTCAGATGTCTCCGTACATCTCTATCACAGCAGTCGCAATGTCCTCTATCTTGGGTGTAGAAACACAAGGTTGTTGTTGTCATGTCCAATGAAGAGCCTCAGATGTCTCCATACATCTCTATCACAGCAGTCGCAATGTCCTCTATCTTGGGTGTAGAAACGCAAGGTTGTCGTGTCCAATGAAGAGCCTCAGATGTCTCCATACATCTCTATCACAACAGTCGCAATGTCCTCTATCTTGGGTGTAGAAACACAAGGTAACACAGCTAAATAAATAATTTGTTTAATTTTTCATTAGGATTTGATGTCTTGTTACCTTGTATTTCTAATTGTACTTCATCATGGTATTGTATTTAATACATTAGTAACATTTTGTTGTTTAACTTTAAATCATATCTTTGGATCAATTCTTTTTTTTCTTAAAAAAAAAAAAACTTATTTCAAAAATGGATTTTTTTCTCTTAAAAAAAAAAAAATGGAACACGCATTCAGGAATTCTATTGAAACTGTTGTTTAAAACAAATCATGGACCTACTTTTATGGATATTTTGTTAACAGCTCTGGGTAAATCATTGTGGTTTAGAAACTTTAGAAATTTCTTTCTTTCTTTCATAATTATTTTGATCACAAAATTTATATTGCTAATCTTTCCCAGATCTTAAATTGACTTCCAAAAGGAAGATTCCATAGAAAGATGATTTACAATGGAACTCCTTGTCCCCTAACATCTCAAAATTCCAAAGGTTTGTTCCATGTCCATCTGATATATTGGTGTTGTTATCTAGATGTTTGGACTATCAAGATTTGACAAATTGGAACTATTTTAGGTGTGTATGATTCTTTTAAAAATTATACAATTTTCTCTACTATCATGATAAGGCACAATTTGGATTACAGATTATAAACACAAGGTAATAAGACTAAATCTAAATAAATAAATGTGTGTGACGTTTCTGTAACAGCGTCGTTACAGTATTCAGTACTTTTGTCTGATGATGGTAACAACGCTGTTACTGAAATGTCACACACTATTTATTTGGATTTGGTCTTATTACCTTGTGTTTCTCTACTATCCTTACTGCAATGAAAAAGAATTAATGGAAGGGCCTGGATCATCAATGGTGAACCCTTCCAATGATTTTGCTATTTTAATCTAACATTTTTTTTTAAACTGGGGAAACCGCTGAGAGGGTTCACCACTGATGAGCCAGGCCCTCCCATTAATTTTTCATTGCAGTAAGGGCAGTAGATAATTGTTTAATTTTTAAAAGAATCATACGTGTCTATAATAGTTTCCATTTGTCACTTAGCACTTAGCTAATGAATCACATTTCAAGTTTATTATGAACAAATGTTATTTTTAATAAAATTACAAGGAAACTGCCTAAATCCTTTAATGAAAAATCTTCTTAATGGCCTTTTTGAATAAATGAAGTTCTATAATATAAAATTTCCTGTAAAAAAAGAAAAGTGACTTTCAACATTACTACAGAGAGCTGTCATCATAAATATATCATTTGACCATCAAGATGACTTCCCACAATATGCCATAGGAAACTTTAGAATGGGTTTGTGGTTGAATCAGATCTATGACTTTCTTTGGTTCAGTTTTACTGCTAGATTATCTCCGTTCACTTGTATTAGGGTATCAAAAGTCTGTAGAGCTTGACAATCATCATGACTGGCTGAAGTAGAATGCCTCTGCCTTTGTCATTATGACTGGAAGCACTACACTCAGTAGCAGGCCGATTTAGCTCCAATATGAAATAGCCGCCTCTGACATGAGGAACAGATGCCATGTACAGCCTCTCCTAACATGGAGTACATCCTGTATCCCTGGAGTCTTTACAGGGTACTATCAGCCGGGCCAGCTGAGCCCAGGTTTTTTACTGAGCTTGTTACAGCTCCTTCTTTTTCATCTGGGCTTGGGACCGGCAAAGGCAAAGTTTAAGATGATGTTATGAAGTCCTGTCCTTCAGATGACCTTGTGTTGGTTCATTTATAAGGTCTCAATGGTTGTGAAGTAATCTTTATAAGCTTGTTGCTATGTAAATAAACTCAATCTATAGGTCAAATAAGGGATTTTTTTTTTCTTTTTCAAATTCCGACTATAAGTTCATTTCCTTCAATTTAAGATGGGCTTCAGATAAGTTCATTGTTTCCTTCAATTTAAGATGGGCTTGTCTTCAGATAAGTTCATTGTTTCCTTCAATTTAAGATGAACTTGTCTTCAGAAAATCCATTGTTTCCTTCAATCTAAGATGGGCTTGTCTTCAGATAAGTTCATTGTTTCCTTCAATTTAAGATGGGCTTCAGATAAGTCCATTGTTTCCTTCAATTTAAGATGGGCTTGTTTTCAGATAAGTTCATTGTTTTCCTCAATTTAAGATGGGCTTGTCTTCAGATAAGTTCATTGTTTCCTTCAATTTAAGATGGGCTTCAGATAAGTCCATTGTTTCCTTCAATTTAAGATGGGCTTGTTTTCAGATAAGTTCATTGTTTTCCTCAATTTAAGATGGGCTTGTCTTCAGAAAATCCATTGTTTTCTTCAATTTAAGATGGGCTTGTTTTCAGATAATTTCATTGTTTCCTTCAATTTAAGATGGGGTTGTTTTCAGATAATTTCATTGTTTCCTTCAATTTAAGATGGGCTTGTATAATGCTTCAAACCTTTTTAGTTCTTTTTTTTAACTCTTGTATTATTATGTCATTTTTATATTCACATTTGTTAAAGCTTTTTTTTGTTGTATTTTTTTTTTAGTATGCCTTTTTATATATATATATATATATAAAAAAATCTTGGTGTTTTATATTTTTTTCGGCATTGTAATTTTGTATTTCTGTTATCATACTCTTTTTTTTTTTTTATATAGATTTTATTTTTGTATTTCACATTGTTTTTACTTTATACCATTTTATACATATCTTGCTATTACCCTCTCTCTATTAATTTGATGGAAATTTGAATCCCATTGTTATCTCTCATCTGTTGTAGCATGATCCTCTTGTAAGTAAATGCCCCCATTATGTCATTTTGTATGTGTATTTGGAAAAATAAAAACTTTTTTAATACATATCTACAAATCTCTGTGAGAAAATTATATTTTTTCTCGCCCAAAATACCATTTTGTTACCAATTGAGTGATGGTCATCAAACACAAGGTAATAACACCAAATCCAAGGAGGTTGGTGGAAGGATGGTCTAAACCAGGGGTGGCGAACGTGCGGCCTTAAGGCCGCATGTGGCCTTTTCTTGCCCAAGTTGTGGCCTTTTCATTGGCCTTCTAATATAAAAAGGTTCGCCACCCCTGGTCTAAACCATTGGTTTTCGACCGCTACAACCCGGGTTCGATTCCCACATTGAGCACTTTTTTTCTGATAAAAAAAAAATTCTCCAATGGTCCCCGATTCTTGCAAAAGTCCAACCCCACCAGCAAGTGCAAGTAACCAAACGGGGCTCTGGCACATTTGTAAATGCAAAGTCGAACTGTTTTTCACATGTGTAGACATGTGGTGCACTTACAGTAAAAGCAGTCACCTACTTCTACCCACCATGATTATCATGGCCTGTACCATGTGTACTGGGGATAAGTAAAAAAAAAAGACCAAATCCAAATAAATAAATAGTGTGTGAAGTTTCTGATTACCTTGTGTTTATAATCCAAATTGTGCCTTATCATTGGAGATTTGGTCTTATTACCCTGTGTTTATAATCCAAATTGTGCCTTATCATTGGAGATTTGGTCTTATTACCTTGTGTTTATAATCCAAATTGTGCCTTATCATTGGAGATTTGGTCTTATTACCCTGTGTTTATAATTTATAATCCAAATTGTGCCTTATCATTGGAGATTTGGTCTTATTACCCTGTGTTTATAATTTATAATCCAAATTGTGCCTTATCATTGGAGATTTGGTCTTATTACCCTGTGTTTATAATCCAAATTGTGCCTTATCATTGGAGATTTGGTCTTATTACCCTGTGTTTATAATCCAAATTGTGCCATATAATGCAGCTTATGATTGTAGAACGACATTTGAAAGTTATCCTGCATGTGTTTCTTTTTAGCAAAAATTCAAAATTTATTTCAAGGAGAAATAACAATTATTTCTAACCTTTTTGGATGAGGTATGAAAGGGTAAATTGTGAAGAGTAATGATAAACGGAAAAATAAAAGTGTCCAGGGATGGGAATCGAACCCACAGTGTTCCGCTTACCGGGCAGATGCCATGTCCACTAGGTTAGAAATAATCATTATTTCTCCTTGAAGAATAGTTTATATTTATTCCGATAGATGACGCAAGCCATCAGCAACTTTCAGTTGCACGATAAGGAGATGCCTTTTTAATAATATATGCATCTTATCCCAGTACAATATCATATTTGTACTATTTTTTCACATTGTGTTGCAGTCTCACACAAAATCACTATGTCTGAACAGAATTTCATTGCTGGCAATTTTGTTTCACAAAGGAACTCTATGAGAGAAATATTTCACAAACAACTGAAAATCTAATTTTAGTTTTTAAAAAAACTTTCTCCTCAGGAGCTCCCAATATTTTCATCTTCCATTGCAGAGATTGAATATGTTGTTTAAAAAAAAATGCTCCAATGGACCCCGATTCTTGCAAAAGTCCAACCCCACCAGCGAGTGCAAGTAACCAAACGGGGCTCTGGCACATTTGTAAGTGCAAAGTTGAACTACTTTTCACATGTGTATACATGTGGTGCGCTTACAGTAAAAGCAGTCACTAACTACCCACCATGATTATCATGGCTTTGAGATAAGAAAGAAGAAGAAGATACCTCAGCCAGTATATAAATCTTCATTTTACAAGGTTGTCGTTAAAGTTCATGAACATTTTCAAAAATTTGAAATACCAATATTATTTGCCGTTATGTATAATGTCTTTGTATTATGTATAAAGTGATTGTATTATTATGTATTTGCCGTAATAATATTATTCCCCAAGTAAAAAGAAAATCACGAACTTTTGGGATAACCTTATATGAAGATGGTAACAACGCTGTTACTGAAATTTCACACATTATTTATTTATTTGGTCTTATTACCTTGTGTTTATAATCTATGGATACTAAAATAATAAGCTAAGCGTTATATATACAACAAAAACCTTTATTAAGACACTATTGTCTTACAAGGGGATTCCCCTAAAAGGTTATATATGTACATGAGTGAGGAGGAAAAGCAATTTAGAGGGGAGGGGGAGCAATCAGCCGTTGTCTGTGGAGTTGAGCACTTCTTCCCCCATTTTATCAATCGCCTTGAAAAATTAAAAATATTTATTAACAAATGTTTATATTATATAAAAGGGCGTACCTGGATCTGTAAAAAAAAAAAAAAAACAATTTTTTTTCTAAAAATATTTCGAGATTTTTTTTTTTTTTCTTTACAGATCCAGGTACGCCCTTTTATATAATCTTAATTAATGGATCGCCTTTTGACACAAAATGTTTATATGTTTATTCAGTAGGAGAGTAGTAAAAATTTTATATACATGTTGTTCATTGTAGTGAGTTCCAGTCTCTTTTCCTGTAGGAATGGGCAATGGAATAGATAATGGATCAAATTGTCTTGGAGTGTTATATATTAAATATTATAATAATGATTCCACTCTTAATTCTAAAACATAGATAGAAATACACAATATATCTGTCAAAAAGGATTTAAAGTATTGAAAACAACGTGTATTTTGACCGTCTGCCTCTATTCGTAGATTATTTTATCAATAAATAGCCTCGTAACCTTCAGTGCATCTAGCTCAAAGCTGCCCTCAAATAAAACTTGACGATTTGGAATTAAAAAGAAGTAAAAAAAAAAGTGAATAGGTTCCATTAACTAATGATAAATCACAATTTGGATTATAGATTATAATAAAAGAAAATAAGACCTAATCCAAATAATTTAATAGTGTGTGACATTTCGGCAACAACATTGTCACCATCATCAGACAAAAGAATAAAAATCTATGATGGTGACAATGTTGTTGCTGAAACGTCACACACTAATAAATTATTTGGATTAGGTCTTATTTTCTTTTATTGTTCTATTCATTAAATTTAATGATAACCAAGTATAAGCAAAATTGTCTCTGTCTCTCTTTAAAAATAATTTAGACTTTCCATTTCCTTAAGTTTTATCCACGACTCTATTACAGTAAGGACAGATAGAGAGAGATTGAAACTACTTTATTTACAATGTCCATATAAGATTATATAAGGTTAAATACAGAATAAATACAAATATGAATAAATATGATTATATAATGATAAATATAGGAATAAATAGATATACACACAACACACACAAAAGCCTTTATTAAGACACATTGATCTTATAGAGGATTCTCCCCGAGATTACAAGAGAGATAGGCCTGTGAAAGTGGGGAATATACAGAAGAAGAAAAAGAAAGATTATGTAAGTGAATAAATATATATAAATAATTGATAAAATATACATATATATAAATGTCATGATTTGTACATAACTGGATGTAATCCCGCCCCAATATGTATGCAATGTAAGATCTAAAGATTTTTAATAAAGACAAGGCTTAGAAATCTGGGGAGAAAGGCCATCAAAGAGGAACGGTCATTAGCAGGTTTTATTATCCAGGAACTCCTAAAAACTGGGTTCAAGAACCTAGTCCTTCCGGGATCATGTCAGAACAAGACAAGGACAAAGGATTAGCAAAGATCCAATCAGAGTCCAGGAGGATTAGCTAGGAACCAATGGAAAACTTACACGGGTCGACAATCGTCCAATCAACGCCCTGAGAATTTTTCGTGTTAAATCGCGAACTCGGTTCAGTTAGTTAGGAGCCCGGCAGCATCGCAACAAGTTGACCTGGACCACAGCTGGACCTGTCAGAGTCAGGACCTCGCCACCATCTTCCTCATCACGCAGATAAGTCCAATGTTCACCATGTGACAGCCTAGCATTAGTCAAATCCGCCAAATAGCCTAAACCCCTTTCTCCCTTGATCGCTGGCCTATTTCAATCCAACCCTGTGTTCTAGTTATTTTTCCCCTGTGTGAATACCTTACTACTTCAGCAAACGACTGCGCCCACCACAATCATCAATCAATCAATCGACAACTCAACCAATCTCAAAAAGGTATCGTTGAATATTACAGTGAGTCGACAGGATTCGACAGTATTTCGTAATATTTTACAGAGAGTCGACAGGATTCGACAGTATTTCGTAATATTTTACAGAGAGTCGACAGGATAAAATGGAAAACGAACGAGACCAACAGAGCCGCAGCGAGCCAGGGGAGAGAAAGGAAATTGCTCGACACACCCTAGCGGCGATTTTACTGCAGTTGACGGCTACCCTCCAGGGAGTAAAGATGACCCGACGCGCCGGCGGGACATACGCCGCCCACAGACTCCGCCGGGCGACAGGCCGGAAGATGGACGGGGCTGCCGCCGACATGTGGCCGAGCGACCTGACGCGCCACCCTGAGGAGCCATCACCCACCATGCCGGATCCATACACCAGTGTCCAGAAAAACCAAGTAGGTGGACTGAACCATCCCAACAAGCTCGACACGCGAACGCACGGGCAGTACAATCAGTCCCAAATCCACACGCGAACGCACGGGCAGTGCAAACGGCCCCAACCCAGCACGCGAACGCGCGGGCAGTGCAAATAGCCCCAACTCAGCAACACGCCCGGCGTCCCACACCCCTACCACATGCCGAAGACGTACGAGCCGTCCAAGCCTTTCGGCCCTGAGGTAAGAAGGCAACATTAACCCTTTATCGTCAAACAATTGACGCTGAAACTGTTTCTAACCCCTGAACTGTCACCCCCATTTCTAATTGATACAGGCGCAAGTTTGAATATAGTGCCCCATAATCTCTATAAAATGTTAAAAACTAACCTCCCTAATTTAAAATTAAAAGAACAGTCTATAGACCTACAGGCTATAAATGGTCTTGTAACCACAATAGGTAAAATAGTACTCCCCCTAACAATAGGTAAACTAACTAGAAAAGAGAATTTCCATGTGGTGGAAGCACCTCTGCCATTTGGAATTCTCGGTATAAATACCCTCCGTAATTTTAAAATAGCAATAGACTTTAACAACGGCACTATATTCCAACTTGGCGCCCCATTGTCTACCCCTACCTATAATTTCAACCATGTACCCAATGAATGCACGTATTGGGAGTGCCAAGCGATGTCACAAAGGTCTCACCATACACACCAACCTCCCGAAAACATGGCACCCAATGCGCGCATCCATTGGTCAAAACCCAATTACCCACCTACCAATCTAGTCACGCGCCCGCACAACACAACTTTTTCACTAAGGCCAATTGCCTTTACTATATGCCCGCAATTCACAAGGCCACAACGGCTTCAAATCACAACGACAATGCACAAAATGTATCCATCCAACGGGACAACTCACACATAAGGCCCTCACGTGACCATACGTCGTCACGCAACAATCACACACGTGTACACCGCAACAACCGTGACACTCACAACAACAATACACAGACAGTATCCATCCAACAGGACAGCTCACACACAGAGCACACACGTGACCACACGTCGTCACACAACAGTCACACGCACAACCAGCTCAACAAGCGCGACACTCGCACCAACAGACGACAACGACACCACGCGAACACATGCACAACCACCACCAAAACAACCACCCCATCTACACGAAACATTGAGACAATCCACGCCACCCAACAACCACACAATCGCAAAACATTGCGATCTTTCTTAAGCGCTGTGAACGCTTACAAAAAGTTCATTCCGGACCACGCCCGCTTGCGGACGCCACTTGTCAACCTTCTAAAAAGGGATGTCATGTGGGTCTGGGATGACGAATGCCAGAAAGCGTTCACTAGCCTGAAAGAAAGCCTTACAACATACCCCACGTTACACCTTTACCAGGAAGGTCTGCCATGCCAGGTGTACTGTAACGCCTCAACACTCGGCATCGCAGGCGTCCTCAAACAGGTCTACCCTGATGGGAAGATTTACACAGTCCAAAATTTCAGCCGCGCTCTGCGTGCACACGAACGAAGTTATTCCATATCTGAACTTCAATGCCTAGCAATTGTTGAGAGTATGGATAATTTTCGCGTCTGTTTGATGGACAGAAAATTTACAATATTTTCTGACCATCCCGCATTGCAGTGGCTGAAAGAGATCAAAAACGCGTCAGGCAGATTGTTTCGATGGAAATTAAG